CAGAGAGCCAGTTAAAAAAAGTCACGGAAGACTGATTTTATTTATACTAACTGCAGGAAGATTATTTATACATAATAATGGTGAAATACTGAAACTCATATAATGGAGGAGTGGATTGTGAAAATGTCAAAAATGGCAAAACTGGCCTGTTTGGGGCCCAAAAAATGAAAGACTTGATATGTTTTATCGGCTTTTTGTTGAAAATGAAAAAAAGTGAAATGATGATTTCTGGATTTAAGGACTGGAAAAAAATTGGGGCTGAAGGGATTTTTGTAATACTTAAGAGGGAACAAGGAAAATGAGTTTATAATTGTTGAAAAGAAACTTACTTATTCTTCTTTTATCTTTTTTCTTTTATTGCCTTGCTTTTTGCACTTTCTGATTTTCTTTTTAATTTTCTTTATTTTTATATTTGCCTTTAAACTGTGCTGGACTATCTAATATGCAACTTCCTTAACTTGGGGCAGTTTTGGTATGTCTGGAAGATGCTGGGATGGGGAAACTGGAGGTAGAAAATTTGTCACAATTCCTAAACCTTAATTAGGTTTAAAGTTAGATATATTTTTTAAAATGCCTCTTTTATTATTTTTATAAATATGTCAAGGTAGCAAAGATATCTGATACTCTGTCCTCTTCCTCTTTTCCCCACAACAACAATCCTGTGAAGCGAGTTGGGCTGGGAGAGAGTGACTGGCTCAAGTCACCCATCCGGCTTTCATTTCTAAGGCAGGACTAGTAGCTGGGATGTGATTCAGTTAAAAAAAAAAAAAAAAAAAAAAAAGGTTTGTTACTATTGACAAGTTTCTCTGAACTTAATCTTTGTTACCTCTATTTTCAGAAGAAGCTTTTTAAAAACACAGAAGTTGTTAAAGTAAGCTTTTAACAAAATTTAAGGTCACAATCTCTTATATAAAAGGTTCCAAAACATAAATGACCATATTGATGCAACTTTCAAATCCTTAGGTTTTCTGCAGTGAATTTTTAACTATGCAAAAGTTTAATCCAACGTGGCTGCAAAAGTCACCCATTCTGATGGCTACTATAAAATTCTGCCTGTAGAAATCCATAGGAGGTATCTTTACATTTTTAGGTCCACCTAACCTGGTTTTGATGGTATTTTTTTTTTCAGTTGGGATCAAAATGGAAATAATATGTTTTGGACATTTGAGAAAAACAAATCCTTGCTAGTATCCAGAGGGAAAATTACCTGTCTGTCTGTGCTGAAGCTAGGCTTATAGTATGGAGAGTTAATTAGCTTCTGCTTTGCTCAAAAAATGGCCAAGAGCCTGAGGTTTATTTCCAAATCATGACAATCTTCCATCCCAAATCCTTTTAATATATTCTTACTGAGTTGGTATTTCTTTCCACTGTTTTCCCCCCAAGTGCAGAGGAAAATTAAGCACCAGCTTCAAAAGCACTGGGTGTTGTACCTTCATGATTGTTCAGCGAGAATCCCTGGGGCTGCATTCTCAGCTGAACTTGAAATGCTGAACTTCCATGATTTCTATTCCTGATTTCTAACTTTTTTTTAGTTTAAAGGCATTCTTCACTGCAGAACTGAAATGCTATCCGACCCATTCTGGAGTGAACAGAAGACTATGCTGGCTTGGAATATGTTGTTCCTTCTACTGATCCTTATCCTGCCTGCACTGCTTTTTTACTTTCAGTAAAAAGTACACATTCTCCATAGCATAGTGGGCTGTAAAATACAAATGATAATGCTATATTAATATAATCAGTTCATCATTTCTTGGCACAGCCATTCTTTCAAGTTGTAGTAGAAGGAGCAATGACAGGACACTCCATCAGGTTCTCCTTTCTCAACTGCTTCCAATCCAGTAATTTCTTTAAAAGGACCAATTGTACTCTCTGGGTTCATCCCTTAAAGTAAGCATGCCAAACATAATTGAACTTTCATGTCATTCTCCCAGATTCCATCAACCAATTGCCACAGAAAACCAGTTTGACTTATTTGGGGCTCTGTGATTCAAACACATTGTGTGCTTAGATAAAGAACTGATGTTCATGTGCATTTCACCCACTATCAGATTCCATCAATAATTTTGCTTTTCTTTAGATTTGTTTTACTCATGAGATGTAATGTAGTTGCTTGAAAAGTTTTCAGATTTTAATACTAGAACATTATTTTGCTAAAAACCCCAGCCACTTCCACTGGAGTAATATATTCTATTATTAATGGCCTATGCAGTATCTGATCCATTATATAAATTCCTCCTTAGGACTTTTTCATGGAGAAAATCTATCTATGTGGCCACTAAGAGTAAACAACAACCTCATGGCACAAAACAAATTAACCAATTAGGGCTGGAACAGAAGAACCCATTTTTCCCATCTGAAGTACTGCCAATCAATATTTGATTAACAGGATGATCTGTTCCTCATTTGCCTGGAAGTACGAGGAATGGAACTTCTCTGTAATCCTCTACTATGGGATTTATGTTTGTTTAAAAGATGAAATTTTGCTCCTTGGCTCTCTTCTCTCCATGGACTTTACTCAGCAACTCAGTCTACATTGCTGTGCAAAGCTCAATTGACTGCCTCTTTGGCAATCATAAAACAAAATCCAGCCCCATTACACCCCTGGATTTTATGACAATGACTTTCCTAAATCAATTTACAAAGAGTGTGGATTCCTTATCATGGTTTAAACAGATGAATATCTGTCTTTTCAACTTCCATGGGTTAATAGGAAAGTGTTGCACTTTCATTTTGTCCAAATTTTCATAAATTTTATGTACAACTGAGAGATTATATAGCCAACAATATTGCTGAGATATAATGTTCATAAAGAGAATAAGATTAATATCAAGGTAATGGCTTTGCCGAAATCAAATAAGTCAATAACTAAGAAACATATTTGAGAGTCATGTTATATTAGCCAAGCCATATGCATCTCAAGCAAAACCACAAAACATTGACATTTGAATTATTTTAGTGAAAGAGAAGAATAGTAGAGATTCAAATCAAAGATGAGAATAAATTGAGAAACAAGATAAGAAACAAAATGGAGGGCATCCAAACTGCTTTATAGGTGAGCAGGTTCTAGCTTTAGGTGGGCAGCTGTCATAACACTGTCATAATACTGCACTATCACTCCCATACAGAAGTATGGAGGAGATCTGTAATCGATTTGCTGCTTGAAATTCTTATAAAATTCTCTGCTTCATATTTTGATAAGTACTGAATTTTCACATGAATCATGCCACATTATTTATACTTTCATGAAGCAAATTCTAATGTTTGGCACTCCATGTTATTTTTCAGTTCTTTTATAGCTTGTTTTATTATTTGGGGTCAATACTGTAGTGTGATACCTGTGATAGCAGCTGATAACCTTCACTGGCAGAAAAGGATTTCTGGGTATGATTCTGATGCAGGCCCCTTTTGCATCATTAGATGGGAAAATAAGAAAATAAGAAGGATTAAAGTATGAGAACTATATAACTGGGTATACTACCTACATATCTAGGTGTAGAGACATTGAAATATCATTCAGTGTAAATGAAGAATACAGAATACAGATGCTAGTATGAAACAGTCAGGTGATCCTTGCCTCATTTAGAGATCATGACAATGATGCATAATCCAGGTCCTGATTTGGCATGCGATAGAAGGAATAAAAAGAGGTGCTAAAATGGATATGGTGTCTTATAGACAGCTACTTAGATGGGATGGACAAAACTGGCAGTTTAAATCACAGGAAGAGTTAGCACAAGAAAATATTATTTATTCTTGGTTCCAATATAGGCAACTAGTAGATAGATGGAAGGTGGATTGTAAGGTGGGTTTTCTTAGAGAAGATGAAAATTTTATTAAGCAAGTGAAGGATCAAAGACAAACCCACATTAAGAGGATTTATGGGGTTTTAGTTGAATTGGATTCAGAAACGGAACTAATTAAAGATTGTATGATCAGATGGGCGCAGAATTTTGGTGAGCCAGTTCCATTGGACACCTGGGAAACCATCTGGGTGAGAAATGTCAAATTTACACAAGCACAGAACTTAAGGGAGAATTTTTATAAAATGTTTTATAGATGGCACCTTGATCCACAAAAAATGTCTCTTATGTACCCTGACTTACAACCTAAATGTTGGAGATGTGGTTGTATGGACGCTACTTATTATCATATTTGGTGGTCGTGCAGAGAGATAAAAGCATTTTGGATTAAGATATGGTGGAATATCCAGAGAATTTTTAGAAGGAGGGTAAAATTTACTCCGCAATTATTTTTGTTGGGTATAGTTACTGATTGTGATACAAAGGAGGTTATATTGATGTTAAATTTGATTACAGCCGCGAGGCTGTTAGTAGGACAATATTGGAAGAAGGAATCTTTGCCTACATTGCAGGAGTGGTTTCTTAAAGTGTCTTATTTGGCGGAAATGGCAAAGATTTCGGCTTTTTTAAAGGAACAAACGCAAGAGAAATTTCTTGCTGTTTGGGATAAGTGGATAAAATTTATACAATTTAAACTGGATATAAAAAAATATTATATAGCCTTTTCATAATCTTTATTTTTATATATATACATATATATCTTAATGTTATATCTTTCTTTTTTTATAAACATAATTTTTTAATTGTTTTTTAATTAAGCCTATATTCTGCTCTGGGAAGCTCAGGGGGGGGAAGGGGGGTGTTTGGGTGGGGGTTGGGGAAGGGGGTTTTTGTTGTGTAATGTTTAGTTTTTTCTTTGTATATGTTGTTTTTTGTTTTTGTATTGTTTTGTTCTTTTTGTAAAACTTATAAAACTCTTTAATAAAAAAAAAAAAAATCCAGGTCCTGATTTGATGAGTTCACAGCAGGAAAATGAAATGAGATCACGTTCAACTGAGATCAAATAATTAAAACATCTATCTTCTGCCTATTCCATTAGAACATCAGGAGTAATGTCAGGCCATCTCTTAAATCTAGAAAATGACTGGCCCAAAGATAATTTCAATGACCAAATTTAAATTGGATTGTTTCTGGCCCAGACCCAGCATCTTAACCACTACATTATGCTGGCCTTCTCATAAAATGTCAAAAATGTGCAAAAAAAAAAAAAAAGGGGGGGGGGAGAAGAAGAAGAAAAAAAGAGGGGACTTTGAAAGCATGCAATATTTTTAAATGAGAAGTTCATGAGGATTTTTGGCTTAGTTCAGACTGAATTTTACCCCAGGCTTAAGTGGCATGAGTCTACATTGCAGGAAAATAATGAGGTTGGATCCGGAAAGCTATGTTTCCTCTTGCAGGCAAAAGAGCCTATTATTTATTGCAGCATTTCTGTTTGTTGCCAACTGTACTTCACAAAAACATACGCACTACCTTCCTATTTTTTTTTCCCAGGGAGCTGCTGACATGTGCAGCATCTTCTTTGAATCCCATTGCATCTGCCAGCACTTTGCCTTTGGGAATTTAGCTTTGGTCTGAATAATTATAGCATCCTGTATTATGAGTTTAGAAAGGGGGTGTGGGGAGAACCCCAGAAAAGAACTCTGGCAGAACAGGTGACACCCTTTGAAAAAAGTATAAATAGAGATAAGTGGGTAGTGGATTCAGCAATCTTACTTTGTGTCAAGTGGTGCCTCTTGCTTTCAGCTTAGCATTAAGGAATTTCTCTGCCACTATGAGCTGTGGTCCAAGACACACGGTCCTAACAGCTGGGAGAAACAGCAGTGGGAGCTGCAATCTTGGAGTGGGGGTTTCTTCTGTTGGCTCTGGGCGATATTCTTCATGTGGGCTAAACAACGAAAGAGCTAGCTTCTCTGGACGGAGTCATCTTGGGGGGAGAAGCCATTTCTCAACTGGCAGCTGCAGTGGGGCTTTTGTCAGTGGAGGACATGCTGGGACAAATGGTAACTTTGTGGCCACCTCTCACATGGGGACTTCTGCTGCTAGAAATGGTATGGTAGGTGGTGCTGGTGGTGGTCATGTAGGTGTGGTAGGTGGTATTCCTGGTGGTGTAGTAGGTGGTGCCCATGGTGGCCTAGTTGGTGCTGTACCAACTGCTGTAGTTAATGGCATGGGTGGTGTAGTTGGTGCTCCTCATGCTACTATGGTAGGTACTCCTTGTGGAGTGGTTGGAGCTGTCCCTGCTGGCATGGTAGGTGGCATGGCTCATCCAGGTGTTGTTGGTGGCATGGGTGGAACAGTTACTGGATTGATTGGAGAACCTGTTTGTGGAGGTATTTTCTCTAATCTTGATGGGAAGATGACCATGCAGAACCTCAATGATCGCCTGGCCAGCTATCTAGACAAAGTCCGATGCCTGGAAGAGGAAAATGCCGAGCTTGAGTGCCGAATCAGAGAATTTTATGCCAAGCAAGGCCCTCTGTCTGAACCAAAGGACTATACTCATTACCACCAGCAAATTGAAGATCTCAAAAACCAGGTAGACATCAGTTTTCAATCCATTTTTCATATTTTTCACATGTATTTGCTTGGGACAATTGCAGGTAATAGCATTCCTGCTCAACTAAAGTTCACAATGCTGTGAATTTATTTTGCTGATTTCTAAGGACCAGTTTATTCTTCTAATCATCATATATGACATATGAATCAATTAAATTTTGTAAAATATGTTCTTGTATTCTGATCTGTGAGGACATCCTGCTTTCCCAAAATAATGGTGGTGGGGTTTGATGATGTTTCCACATTATATGGATCCATTATATGGATTCTAGTGAATGCAGAAAATAACAAGAAAACTTAATTTCAAAAATCAACAACAGTTTATAATAGGTAGCACTCTAAGTTTATCTTAAGTTTATCTATAGATGCTGCTCCTACTGTATTATGTTGACATATTGAGCCAGTAAACCTTTTTTTAATTCAAGATTGTCTTGCTAGCATGGTACAAAGTCATCATGAAATGTAATATTTAATCAATTTTCTGCATGGAAGCAGTCACCATGGGAAAAAATTAAAGGCATCCCCAAGTTGTACAAGTTGATTTTTGGAAGAGGAGAATATTAGCTATGAATTAACTACATCTTGGTCACCACTTCCAATCATTTACAAACTGTAGGGGATTCCCACTCATGGGCTTGTTTGATTATTGTTTTATGCTTTCAAATAACAATTCAGATATAAACAAGCATGTATCCATAAGCAAAACAATGAAGCTTGTGTTAGTTTAATGAATATCTGATATGGGTGGCTAAACCTTAATGCTAAAACTTTACATGAAAGGCAAAATCAATGTAGATTCATCAATGGACTTGCATTTTTTCCATTTATCCAGCTTATTTGTGCAAGTGTGGAGAATAACAAACTCCTTCTGTGCATTGATAACAGCAAACTGACTGCTGATGATTTCAGATCCAAGTGAGTACTTTTCAGTAAATTAAGGCAGATAAACAAAAGAATATTTCTTTTATTGAAAGTGCAGGGCTACTTATGGAATTGCCTTGATGGCCACTGTGAGTCAGGCTGTTAGAGGAGAATGTCTTTCATTTTAGGCAATAAGGTGAAAAGAATCTTGCCATTCTCTATTTTGGGGTGTTACTTCTGCTACACCGCAGTTTTCCCTAAGTTGGAAATCCTTCAGATTTATCAGACTCAATTTCCAGAATACCTTAGGCAATATAATTATTGTTGAGAATTCTGGGAGCTGAAATTCTCTTAGGGTGCATCAGAGTTGGTAAAGTCTGTTGTAGGACAAGGAAAAGAAAATGTAGTTCAATGTGCCTGGAATAAAAACAAAGTGAATTCTAGCAGTGTTATACTCAATGAAATATTGTTGATTATTTGGTATCTTCCTTTATTTATATCTAAAGTTTATCTAATACGAGGTATGTTTGAAAATTTCCCTTGTCTAGGCCTGTAAGCTAACCAATAAAGCCTTCATTCCTTTTTTCTTATGGCTCAGGTATGAGACGGAATGCTGCCTCCGTCAGAATGTGGAGGCTGATATTAATGGACTGCATCAAATCCTGGATCAGCTGACTGCCTGCCGATCTGACCTGGATATACAGTGTGAGAACCTGCAAGATGAGCTATGCTGCCTAAGGAAAAACCATGAGGAGGTAAGGGTGATCATTTCCTCATTCAATAAAATCTAAATGCATCATGGAAAATAATGAATACCTTATTAAAAACGTCAATAAACTTCTTTCTGAGTCAGGGTGGGAAGTTATAGATGACTAGGACAGTGTTTCTCAGCCTTGGACTTTTGACAAAATGGCTGGCTGGGGAATCCTGGGAGTTGAAGTCCATACATATTCAAGTGTCCAAGGTTGAAAAACACAAATAACCACCCGATTGCAGTTTCTTCAATTTAATGCTGCAATTCGGCAATTCAGCATTCAGAGCCGTGGTAGTGCAGTGGTTAGAATGCAGTACTGCAGGCTACTTCTGCTGACTGCCGACTGCCAGTGGGTTGACACAGCCTTCCGACTTTTGAGGTCACTAAAATGAGGACCCAGATTGTTGGGGGCCATATGCTGACTCCGTAAACCGCTTAGAGAGGGCTGGAAAGCACTGTGAAGAGGTATATAAGTCTAAGTGCTATTGCTATTATATAGAGATCCACAATTTCATCACCTCTGTGTTAGGAGGATAGACTATTTTACTGAGTTCTATCCAGCAGAGATGTCCATATTGCAAAGAATAATGATTAAATGAAGTTTGTAAAGATGAACCTTAACTAAAACCTCTGAAATTATTATTTGATCTGTTTTGCTAATGGGGACATGACAATTAAGGATCTTGCCATTTCACTAATATGGTATACTTATACACATCATGCACTGCTATTTAATATCACAATCAGTGTATTAGCAAATTAGCAACAAGATACCTGGTGGTACCATTGCATTCTTTGCACCCTAAAATTATCTGTGCATCCCCCTCCAAATAAATAAAATATACAATATAAAAAATTAGAACAGCCAAAGGTTCATAAATTACTAGGCTTTGGAATTCCTGAATGAGATGATATATGAAGTCAAAATATCTCCCAGTTGACATTTCTATAAACTCATATGATATCTGACAATGCAAACAAATTTTATCTGTTTGTAAATTAAACAAAGTGGAGTAGGCAGGACTGGAATAGATTTCTAGCCACTGTCTATGGCAATGAATAATATCACATAACTTTCAAGATGGGGAGATCCAGGTTTTAATTCTTCCTTAGCCATAGGAGTCAGCTGAGAGACCATAGGCACTTCACACTTTTTCAGCCCTGATTAAAATAATAAAAAAATAATTTACCAATCTTCATCTTGCAGTGAATTGATTTGGGAAGATGATGATGTTACCTAGTTTGGGTAGTGAAACATCTGCAAGCAAACAATCAAGCTCAGAGAGTACCAAGGACTCCTCAAAGACTAATATTTACTGTTGCTTGCAAACAAACAATTTGCACGGATACATTGGTTGGGGAAGGGGACAACATTTTCTATTTATATATGTCTGTATATATGTGTATTCTAAGACAAAAATGGAGAGATTTGCAGATGTTGTTGGACTAATTTCTATCAACTTCAGTCAACATGTCTCATTCAGTAGAAACAATAACGAAAATTGTATTTCAACAACAATCAAAGGGTTACAGGGTCACCAATCATTCTTACCTCAAAACTGAGCTATCTAGACGCCCTTCCAGTCACTGAAGAAAATCTTTCCTTTTTAGTTGAACAGCAATATATCTCTGGGGAAATGATCTGCAAATTCTTCCTTTCATTTGTATCATCATTGCTATTGACACGTTTTAAACTGGGGGACTGGTACAATCTCAGAAACAATACAGCTCACCTCTTTGGGGTTGATTTGCCCTTTATAGTCTCCATCAACTTCGGTTAACCATGTTGCTAGAAAGTTCACTTGGGGTAAGGTGAGTTGAGCAGAAAAAGAAAGGTCCAAATACCAAGCACTTTCTTTTTTTTGAGTAGGAAGTTGCCTGCCTGAAGAACCAGGCCTCTGGAGATGTCAGTGTGGAAGTGAATGCCTGTCCTGGGCCAGATCTGAAGAAAATCCTGGAGGAGATGAGATGCAAATATGAATCAATGATTGAAGGAAACCGCAAGGAAGTAGAAGCATGGTATGAATCCAAGGTAAGTGAAATGTCAGTTTTCTTAACCTGGAACATTTTAGGTGTGCTTGACCAACTCTCATATCCGCCAAATAGCATGGGAATTGAATTGCAACATCTCTGAAGTCCTATAGAATAGCATTGTTTTGTAGAATTTTTTTGGAGTGGCTGTAATTTTTTGATTACCCTGCAAAGTCTTAATTGGAGAAAGATGGTTCTGCAAATAGCTGTGTCCAATCCATGAAAGGCTTTATGGGTCATAACCAGCACTTTGAATTGCATCTGGAAAACAACAGTAAATAACACAACTAGAAAAATAGAGGCACCTCAAGTCTTATCAAGATAAACCCTTGATAAGGTACAGTTTCAGAGTGGTCTTTAAAGACAGAAAACACATTGCAGAAGTCCAAATGGGAGGTGACAATAGTTAACTGACCATGAGAAACAACTATTAGTCCAGAAAAAGGTGCAACTGATACACAAGGTGAATCTGTACAAAAGCCCTTCTAGCCACAAGAACTATGAGCTGAAAAGGGCTCCTAGATAGTAAACCAATTCCATTTGGGAAGTACAATCCCATCAAGACAGAAAATCTCTGAAAATTATTGGTTCCTGAATACGAATCCACTATGGTTGAAGCTGAACTTTTTCTTCCCCATCTAAACTCTTACAAGCTTCTTAGCACATAGATGATGACAGACAGACAGACAGACAGACAGAGGAAAGGCAGTCAGTCAGTCAGTCCAAATCCTGTTTGGAATTTTTTTCCCCTGAAACTTTATTTGATAGGATTAACTCGAGAGTTAAACTGCATATATTGCTCATCTATGTATCTCTCTTAACTTTATGCACTCCAGATTGAGGAGGTGAATCGTGATGTCTGCACCAGCAGTCAGGAGATTGAAGAAAGCAACAACAAGGTCACTGAATTAAGACGCCAACTACAAGCCCTGGAGATTGAATATGATGCTCAGTGCAGCCTGGTAAGAGATTGAGAATTTTTGTAGAGTTGGAGGGTAGAATAAACTGCAACAGGCAGTGCACGGTTGCATCATGTATATGCAAAGCCCACTTTGTGTTGGTTATTTTCTCTCATTCCCAGCCTAATAATCAGGCTCTGGTTAAAATTATATTCTCAAGTATGCAGTCTTGATTTGACAGAGAAAAAATGAATCATAAATGCAATAACCCATATATTATTAAGCAGGTAGGGGATGGTCAAAGCAGAAATGGGAGATTGCAGATATGATCACAATCAATGCAGTTGTTAGGTTGCCTACAAAGAGTGATTAAAAAAAGCCTCTTTGATCCTTAAGAAACAGGTTAAACCTTGCATTCAGCTTCATGTTGTACTTTTGCAGACTCTCAGAATCCTGTTAAATCATTCCCACTGGACCTCTTGTCTTATAATGACTGTGTTCTCTTTTATTTGTCAGAGGGACACCCTAGAAAGTTCCCTGGGTGAAACTGAGCTTCGCTACAACAGCCATTTGGCTGAACTCCAGGAGCGCATCTCCTGTCTGGAGCAGCAGTTGGCAGAACTGCGGTCAGAAATGGAATGCCAGAACCACGACTACACAGAGCTCCTGGATGTCAAAAGCCGCTTGGAGAAGGAGATTGCCACCTACCGGGGCTTGCTGGAAGGGGGGCAACATGACATTGTGTGAGTAGCATCCAGAAATGATGGGGCACCCAATAAACAGATGGAATTTTTAGTTAAAATAAAATAGGGGACTAGTCGAGGGGATTGACATTTGGTGAATTGTGGACACTTGGTGTTGCAGGATCCAATCTGGGTTGGTTACCAGGACCAGAGGTTAGTCATCTTCATGGCTCTAGCATCTTCTCTAGCAGAGAAGTTCCCTGAAGATGGGCTCCAGCATGAGTCTGAAAGCCTGGATGACTAAACTTCTTATCTGGATGACAGACCCAGATTGGATCCTGCAGCATTATCCTGAGACATGTATATTCACACTTGGTGTTCTTTAAGTAGAAGGGCTTGTATAGAATGACCAATGAACTGGAAAATTTCAGGTGTACCATATTGCTGTTTTAGGAAAAATATATCGTTCTTCCATTTATAGCAAGATTACACAAGGGAAGCCCAGGGCACATATGGCCACCAAAACCAGGGAGTAATGTCTCCAGGGTTATTCCAAAAATTTCTGCTGATTGATTGCTGCTGCAAAATATTACATAAATGCTTTAACTTTGAAGGATTTAGCTATAGTTTTAAATACAGTAGGACAACATTAATCCTTATTCCTTCTTTGTCTTGGCTCTTTTGGGGTTCTCCTCACTTTTACTCTTCAGAGGTCAATGTGGTTCCTACTCCCCAATCTAGAATAGGGAAATTTCTGAGAAAATGAATGACTGATGCTTGACAATATTATTATGTTGTTAGGCTGGGAGGCAGGTTAGATATATGAAAAATTATAGATTACAACCAGCCGCATTGACAAGGGGACCTCCTAAAATGAAGATGGTTACATAGTCACATCAAATTTTTAACTAATCCGCTGCTGCTGACCCTGACTTTTAGTCTTATTCATATATGTATCTTGGGAAGCTCATTTCTTCTTAAGCCAACCAACCCCCTAGATTTTTGTGATGTTGAAAACATTGCTCAAAGTTTGTGAAATAGCATAAAATGCTATTGACAGCTTAGAATTTTCTGTTCTTATTAGTAATCCTTACCTTACCATTATTTTATTTATTCCCATTCACCAAGGTCCACTGCCTTACCTCCACAGGAATAGGTAATAAAGCCTAACAGAATCTATACACTTTAAAACTACCCTTGGGTAGTGTTTAAATTAGAGGAAAATATGGCTTTAACATGGGTTCACCTAAATACCTAATGGCTAGGCTTGAGAAAAGAATGACTGCTTTATTTTATTGTTTTATCATTGTTTTAACTTTGCACGCCGCCCTGAGTCCTTTGGGATTGGGCGGCATATAAACACTGAAAATAAATAAATAAAATAAATAAGAAGGCAGCATCAAGGAACACAGCAGAAATATGGTGTTGCCAGGGCACGTTGGCAGGTGATTAGGGGTAAGTGGGAAAGGCCTCAAGATACTACTGCTAGACTGGATGGTCTCTGACGAGGTCCATGGCAAGGAAGCTGCAATAGTAGAATATGCCTTGGGAAAGGATTTGGACTAATCAGTCTCTAAGAAATTTACCAGCCCTTACCATCTGTAATTCTGTGATTCTATTTTGGGTTTCTGGCATAATGGACCCAACAAGAGATGAATGATAAATCTACAAGCATTGCTTTGAAACATGATACTGTATATTTTTGCTTCTGCTCCTTGGACAAGTGTCCAGACAAAATTTCTCAACAAAAGTGAAGTTTTCAGAAGGCTGAAAGGCAAATTTTGTTAAGTTGAAGCTGTCAATTGACTAAATTTCTGTAGTAAGGAAAAAATAATGTATTTTGAGACCATCCTCTCTTAATGGATGCTAAGAAGTTCAGGCAACTCTCACTTTCACCTAATTTTTTTTTTTTCAGTTAGATGGGAAAACAGCTAATAGCCAAGATGTTGGTTGTGTGTCTGTCACTGAACCTTGGTTTGTAGCAAATAATTCATTTTTAAGTTAATATTTTTCCCTTCCCCTCCCCTACAGTGGTGGAGGAGGAATCAGTAGAAACAGCAGCACAGCAGGTGCAAGATCCAGTGAAGCTCGGACATCCCACACTTATGTGACCCATTCATGCCATGGAGCCCATTTGCATCACTAGAGCACATAAACATGAGGTCAGAAGCATTTTTTCTTGTTTGAAAAAAAGGGTGAAAACTTGGTGGGATTTTATCATCAATGTCATGTATTAGGAGCTCCTAGGTCAAGGCCGGAGTAAAATATCAGAGAGGAGCCCCCAAGAAATTTGAGCTGTAGGTTGTATAAAATATAGTTGACAGACCAGAACTGGATGCAATAATTCATAACTATAATCTCTGAAGCACCTTGTTTAATTAGATAAAGCAATGTAAAGTTATTCCTCAAATTACAACCATTCATTTACCAACCATTTGAAGTTAAAATGGTACTGGAAAAAATGACTTATGAGCAGTCCTTGTACCTACAACTCTCACAGAATCTCCATGGTCAGGTGACAAAAATTTGGATGCTTGGCAACTGGCATGAATTTACAATGGTTGTGGCATTCCAGGGTCATATGATTACCATTTACAACCTTTCCAGTGGCTTCTGATGAGCAAAGTCAATAAGGGAAGCTGGATTTGCTTAAAAACCACAAGATTCATTTAACAATGCAGCAATTTGCTTAGCAGTCATGGAGAAAAAGATCATAATATTGGATGCAACTCAATGAACAACTACCTTGCTTAGCAATGGAAATTCTGGTTCCAGTAAGTCAAAGGCACTCTGTAAACACAAATATTCCCATCTGAAAGCTTTCAGTCGATTCCAAACTAAAACCTACTTTCCCTTTATTTCATGGGAAATAAATTTGAAAATCAGAAAGGGGTTAATCATTTAATTTAATTAATTTCTTCATTCACATTTATGAAGCAGGAAAATTTCTTATAAGTTGTATATCGGTACAACACAGTGCTAGGCTGCATTAACAGAGGGATAGAATCAAGATCCTGTGAAGTATTAATACCACTCTTCAATGCCTTGGTAAGGCCACACTTGGAATACTGCATCCAGTTTTGGTCACCACGATGTAAAAAAGATGTTGAGACTCTAGAAAGAGTACAGAGAAGAGCAACAAAGATGATTAGGGACTGGAGGCTAAAACATATAAGGAACGGTTGCTAGAATTGGGTATGTCTAGTTTAACGAAGAGAAGGACAAGGGGGGACATGATAGCAGTATTCCAATATCTCAGGGGCTGCCATAAAGAAGAGGGAATTAAGCTATTTTCCAAAGCACCTGAAGGCAGTACAAGAAGCAACGGGTGGAAACTCATCAAGGAGAGAAGCAACCTAGAACTAAGGAGACACTTCCTGACAGTGAGAACAATTAATCAGTGGAACAGCTTGCCTCCAGAAGCAGTAAATGCTCCAACACTGGAAGTTTTTAAGAAGAGACTGGACAGCCATTTGTCCGAAATAGCGTAGGGTTTCCTGCCCGAGCAGGGGGTTGGACTAGATGACCTCCAAGGTCCCTTCCAACTTTACTACTATTACTATTACTAACTAGAACACCTGCACTCATACTTACTAATCCAATTTAGACTTGATTCCATTTGCTAGGCATTTTCTTTTTCAAGTTTAAGGAATGAAATAAAATGAAGAGGGGAAACCCTATGCCAGCAATGAACAAGTCTGAAAAATTCTATGAAAAATATAAATACATGTTTTTTTAAAAATAGTGAGACGGTCTCATAAGAATGACTAAAAATATTGTTGTTAAACACAAATGGTTTTTCTAAGCCCTTCATCAACTCCAGCTATGACAATAGCAGTATTACTGAAAAAGCCCTCTGGAAAGATGGGAAGCAGGGAGCCTGCAGGCCATAAGCATGAATAGATGGGAAGCAGGGAGCCTGCAGGCCATAACAGAAAGGGCTCTATGGCAAATGTGATGGCATTCACATGCACCTCCTTTCTCCTTTCCGGGTCCTAGCTTTTTGGATTTCTTAAAACTCCCATCTGTTTGTAACACTATCTTTCATTGAACTGAATGACAACTGGTGGAAAATATACTGGCCATGAAAACATTCCCTTCAATAAATTTCCTGAAACATATCAAGAGCAACAAAGACAGCATTTGAAAACAGTTTTCTTTCAACCTCAGCTCAGCCACATCCAGTTGAGTCTTCTTGTATAAATATTGGGAGCTTCCAAAATATATTGCATGTTACTTAAATTTCCTAAAATTTTCTATTGATTTGAACAATTATGTACAGTAGCATTGGCATCTTTTTCTTTCTAGTAATTTCATCTTGTTTCTCTTTATCTTCAGACAACTGTAGGAGAAGGGGCAGAGGGTCCCTTGCCCCAAGAAGCATTCCTGATAGTTCTTCCAACCTTCTATTGCTTACTATCTCATGTATTTTCAAAGCGGATGTGAGGGCATCTACTCCACTATCTCCTGCTGAGTCTTTCCCATTTTTCTGCAAGATAGCATTGTTTTTTACCTAATAAGTATCAGTGCCGTGGTTGCCTATCCTCTGACCACTGAAAACAATTAAAATGTCCAAAATAAATCTGCTTTGCTATTGTTGACATCAAAGGCCTCTGTGTACTAGACGTGTTTTTTTTTAAATCAAAAATAAACATGTTAATAAGGCCAACCACCCAGTCACTTTAAGAAAAGAAAGTAGCCAAAGACTTTCATAGCCTATCAGTTCTTTCACTAAGAGTAACAAAAAGATATAAATTGTAATATGTTTGCACCTATACAAAATTTATGGATATTTATCTTGTAAATTAACAGAAACTTAGAAGAATACACATGTCTATTAATATAGGAGAGAATGCCATAATGCAATCAGTTGGTTTCCATACATATAATCACTGTGTTTCCAGAATTGGGAAACAGGACTTATCTTTCATGCTTCTGCTAGACCAGGGGTCTTCGAACTTGGCCCTTTTATGACTTGTGGATTTCAACTCCCAGAATTCCTCAGCCAGCATGCCTGGCTGAGGAATTCTGGGAGTTGAGGTCCACAAGTCATAAAAGGGCCAAGTTTGAAGATCTCTGTGCTATACTGATAGTCAGGCTAAGTCCAGCAACTGCAAAGTGTAATATGCAAGCCATGTATACAGCAGAAAAAAGATTCAAGACTCTTTTTCTACCACGCATGCAGCAGATTGGGCTAAGAGCTGTTTGTTTTTTGATGGGATAAGAAGCTGAAACTCATTTATTGTTACTATAGTGATTCATTCTGGTCTCAGGATCTTTGTCCTATCTCACTTTCACACTATTCTGGCTGAAATACAGATCCTTAAGCCCTGAGATTGCAGTTCACAAATGGTGGTCAAAATAGAGGGCAGCCTGTTAGCCTCTAGTTTCTGCAAAGTTATCACTTCCTGATTTTTCATCCTTTTTTAAAAATACTGACTAAAAACAAATGTACAATAGCCATGTTGGAATCAACACCACAGTAGACGTAGTTAAAATGCACTTACCATTCCTTCCCTTTTCTTCCTGTTTCACACCACTACTTCCTAAATGTGCAGTATGACAGATTTTCAAGTCCATGTTTATAAGGACACTGAGATTATGTGCTAGCAGCAGGAAAAGAGAGTTAATATTTAGTTAATCATCAGGTCTATGTTCCCTTGGAGATACTGAGCTAAAATTAACTCATCTACCTGCTATGTATCTGCTGACTGGGTTTAGTTATTCAAAAAGATCCAGTTAAGTCTGGGGTGCAAACAGATAGTTGACTATAATTTTGAATACCTTGAGCCCATTGATTTCACTGATTAAGTTTGGATCCAATCCAATCCAAAGGCCGGATTTCTTCTTTATCAGAAAAAATTATAGATGCATTTTGCCAAACAAGCAAAATGAAGGGAAAGATCTTGGAATTTTTGGAATATATCATTAACCACTTGCTTCTTCATACCTAGAAATAAGATAAAGCTAGCAACATGAAGATGGGAAATAAAACTGGGGTTGCCACAATGTATCCATGGCTTCATAAATAACAAAGGAAAATTCAAAAACTGATTATTAGGGGCAATGTGACTCTTAGTCTCACTCTTAGGAGATCAACATTCTTAGTCCCAGTTTTGGGGGACCAAAATTGAGAATATTTTATTACATGCATTCCTCATTTGTGTTTTAATTCACAAATACTAATTTACATTTCTTGAGAGTACAAACAAATCAGGCTACAAAATTGGATTACCAGTAGATGGCAACAAAGAATTAGAATTTTATGTGTCTGATGCCATTTAGTGGTCATCTGCATTTTTGCAATTTAGCTATAATAGCCTTAAGGAAACATTTACATTAATTTTCATATAGACTTCTAGAAAGAATTCAGAAACTGATGATGAAAAAGAATGACATTAACTCAAGAAGGAAGAATGAGAAATTGAGCAAAATCCAAAATGACAGTCATCTTATTCTAGCTTCTTAAGCCAAGTAACCAAATACAGTAGACTTTTGTTTCTTTTAAAGTGGATTCATACATTTTTTGGATTGATGGATGGATGGATGGATGGATGGATGGATGGATGGATGAAAAGAAACTATTCTGTACATCTTTAGCAGCTATAGATATAGGGAGTTTGAGGGACTGAAAAAAGGGATCTAAGGTCATAAAACATATCACTGCATACAACCAAAGGGGACACCAGAAAGTTTTATAGAAATCACTCCAAAATTGGAGAATAAAATGGCCAAGGTAGTTCAAGATAAATATGAAATAATGTAATTTGAAGCAAAACATATTCTCTACTTTTATATATTTTTATTTTCATGTATTTACTAAGCTCCCAGAATCTTATAGCATAGGTGACTTATTCAGTACAAATGTCGACCAAGATACGATTTCATTGAAAAGGCAAAATAAGTGCTGGATGGCGATAGATGTGGTCACAGCCTAAGCTCTGCCCCTTTTGTGTTTGTGTAGCCAGCATTTTGCAAATTATGATTTCCCCTAAGGATATTGCTGTAGGGCAGTGCTTCTCAACCTGTGGGTCGGGACGCCATTTGGGGTCGAATGACCATTTCACGGGGGTCGCCAAACAACGCAGTCCGCCATTTTTTCCCCTTTTCCTTAGCTGTGCTACTCCCTTTTATTCTATTGGCTTTTGAAAGCCAATAGAATAGACTCTCTTGAATAGAGTCTAATTCTATTGGCTTTCAAAAGCCAATAGGAATTGTCCAGGCTGTCTCTGCCCTGCTGAGCCCGCCAAAAGTCCCATTCTGCAAACGGTGCTGCACCAGTTGAGTAGTCCTTGACTTTCGACTGGTTGAGTAGTCCTCGACTTACGACCGGTTGGGGGTCGCGGCATTAAAAAGGTTGAGAACCACTGCTGTTGGGAATCATAAAAGGAAGATTAAAAAAATAAAATTGACCATTATTCTATCCTGTTCTATTTTTGGAACTTGCTGTGGACATTTCAAAAATCATGGAGGGAACAGAAAGTTGTATTAGATCAACTTTTTACCCTGAAACAACAGCTTTTCAGGGTTGAGTAGAAGGGATAATGGATACTGAAGGTGAGTGATCCCAGTTGAGTCCTTCATGTGTAGTTGGGTGCAACTTACAGGCCAGGAATTCACTATCCTAGCTTCAAAAACATAACTGCAATCTGAAATAAAATATATATTTACCTTTTATGGTGTTTCAGAGGTCTGATACATCCTTTTGGGCAAACTGGTTCACAACTATAACATTAATCATTCAATTTCATCTTGAATCTACTGTGAAATAAAATTTTCCTGCAATTACCATGCTTCACTGATGTCTATTTATCAGAACCTTTCCATTTTAAGCATAAAAAACAAGCAAACCAAAAACAGACAATTTAATTGTACAGTATTGAAATACTGTATTGCATAGCACACGAAGGAAGCAGAATAGTTTACAGGTTATGCAAATATTTCTAGCTATTGAATAATCAACTCACGTTGTTTCTAATAAAGGCTTTGCCGACCAAACCTGAAAGGTAATTTAGTCAATTCTGGGGTATACTGAAGTGTCAGCTGTCTGACAAAGCACATTTAATAAGCATTGCAAAATGACATGCTTCTTTCACCCTAAATTTAGGTAATCATCTTGCTGCAAGGCAGCCCCATAAAACTGATTCAGCAAGATAATTACCAGGATGTCATTATTGTCGTCATCATCATCACCATCACCATCACCACCATCATCATCATTCATCATCACCACCACCACCTTTGTTGTGGATCATAGATGCATATAAATTAATTTGTACCCCTTATTCTCATCTCTTATCAGGTATCCAGAGCATAGGAAAGTAATCAGCATCATACTTGAAAGCAGAGTTTCCAAGTCCCTTTATTATACAACTAATTTTGGATGAAGTTTATAATGGCATAATAATATGTAACAGTCATAGCTTTGGAATTCATATATCACCTATTTTGCTTTATGCCAATAAAAAAAAGATCAAGAGCTTCTTATAACTTTGGAGAACTTCTGGGAAAAATCAAGGCTTGCTCCACTAAGCTGTCTTAACAGAAAACACTTCCTATCAACAGAATAGTAAATAGCATGAGATTTGCATATTTTATGGCTTTATACTACAGCTTAGGATATAAGATATCTTCCCAGTTTTCAAAGGTCTGAGGTGTGCAAAATGTTTGGAGCTACTTGAGTTCTTGAGAGTTGCCCAAACTTGTTGGAATGGATCTAGAGTGAAGATTGCAGAGATTACAGGATCAGAAGTAGCTCTAAGACAGAAACTGATGGCTTCTGAATAAAAGTCATTAGAATATAAAGTTATGGAACTGGTCAGAAAGCAAAATTCATAGGCACTGTAATCTAGTACTGGATAAGGCATATTTTTATTGGTCAGAATAATATACCAAAGACTGATCAAACACTTCCTTGTCTTCTACTTCCTATATACCCAGAGATAATTAAACACTAAGTGAAAAAAGACAGAGAATTAATTTATTCTGACCTCAAACATTTTGCTTGCCAAGGCAAATGCCAAGATGGTGTCCTTCCCCAGTGCATGTAAAAAAGCTAACTGGACCAGCAGTTTAATTTCTTCAACATGGGGATCAAAAGACACCCATCACTACATCAGATAACTTGTGGTTAGTTTAGGAGGCTCCAGATCAATGGAATGGCGCACAGCTTCTCTTACTTTACCTCCCAAAATTTGTCAGCTGACGCAACTGACTCACTTGATTTAAAGGCAGGGATAGCACTGTATGCTTTAAATGATGATTAACCATATCCTTTCAAGATATGGGTTCAAAGGGATTAGTAAATGCAATAGCTAAGATTCTTATCTCTAATAACATTCAAAATTATACATATCATGAATAGACATACACCCAAAGCAAAACAAAATGCCACACTATATAATTAAGTCTTAAAATTTATAATTCTGCTCCCTTTCACATTAGCTCCATTTCTAACAGAGCTGGGTCATCCGTGAGTCATCAATGACCATAGCTGCCTATTGGCATCTAAGACAATTTCTGATGTCTCTAGAGACCCTAAGGTCATACAACCAATGT